TAATTTGTATTTTGCTGGGCAGAAAAAAATAAGTAATAAGTAAATTTGTATCAAAAAGATTTTAAGAACTTGTATTTGTTTATTTGAAATAATTAAAAGACATTATTTAATATGCCAGTATTTTCAAATAAGAGATATTTTAATCCCGAGGACATCTTTCCTGTGTGGGTGGGTCAAGGTCAGCCCATATTGAGGTTAGTATAGGAAGCATTTTTATATTTTCAAATTACAAATTACTTGTATTTTAATTAAATATATTTTTTGATACATCTGATGAACAAATATTTGTCATTTATAACCAGATACTGTTTGATGTATTTGTGCCCATCTCTGGCTGTAACCTGTAAGTTAAGCACAAACACTGACTTTATTGAAGAGGGAATGTAAAGCTCTTTTTGGCTTAGAAAGACAGCTGAGATTATTCAACTTTTAAATATAAACCACTGCTAAATATATTTTTTAAGACTTCCTGTGTTGCAGTTCAGTTGCTTCTCTTCTGTTGTGTTGTTGCAAGTGAACTGGTCATATTGGTCTTATATGGTTCTGATTATATCTTAATATGTTTTCCAACAGCAGTTTTTAGAGAGAGATAGAGATTAGAGACTAGATTGGAGTTTCTGATATCAAAGCAAAATAAAGTTTTCATCCTGGAAATGTGAAACAAGATCTTTATTTAATTTGTTTAGTGGCTTACATACTTATGGTATTCATATATCTTTGGCTTCAATCAGTTACCATGGTGGTGTCTCACACATTTCATTGTTTCCTTTATCACGTTTTAAAAGAAATAAAGAGTTTTTAGTTATTCAGTGATCAGCAGCTCTCCTGTAAGGAGCGTCCTTTACAGTTTTTACTTTAGGAGGCTGAAATTGTGTTGGATGTCAAGTGTTTGTAAGGTCGTGTGTGAATACATGAAGGCATGGATGCTTGTTTGTTTAACTATTTATCTATTAACGATAATGCTATACAGTAAAATAAACAGTAATGAGAAATTTTTAACTTTCAGGGCAGGTGAAATGACCTTTAACCCGTGTCACTGTCTGTGTTATATCACTTAACACATACCATGTTATAAACACATTCAACCAGTTTTATATATATACTTTATGTATTTCATAAAGTATATACAATTTGAATTGTGAATGTTGCAGTTTGTCTCCACTCTGTTGTTTAATAAAGTTTTTATTGAACAGCTCAGCTCTGACCTTCACATCACTTTCACTCAGCAGCTGAATCTAAAAATAACTCTCAACTGTCAGAACATTGGTTGGTCAGTTTACAAGTAGATCAGAGACAACAACAACAACAACAACAACAATAAACTTTATTGAAACAGCACTCTTTAAAAAAAAAAGTGGTTTATGTGGTGGAACCAGGACCAGGTTGAATCAGCATTTTCTAAGGCTAGCAGCTAGCAGACAGGGGGGTTGGAGAGGGTTAATAAAATCGTCTAACAATTCCAGAAGAAGTTCCACCAACAAAGATTTTGAAAGACACGTCCTGGAGTAACAAAGACCATCTGGCACAGACTGGGACCAGAGGCTGACAGGGTAACTGGAGAATAAGACACAGGTGAGCTGGGTGGTGGAGGGACAGCTAAAGGGGAATGGTGGGAACTGTGGAAACAGTTGAGAAGGTGGGAGAGGGAGTGTCTGTGGTGAGTGTAGGGTTCAGGTCCAAGGTTGTACAATTGATTTGTCAGTTTGGGGGGCGGTCAGGATGTATTAAAGGCAGAGACTCTGTTCATGTTCAGAACCTGAAAAGTTGGTTCCCAGCTGGAACCAAACAATATCAGCTCATCCGTGGTTCCACTCTAAACTGGTTTTCTCAATAGATTATCACATTAGTAGTTAATTAAAACAATGGTAGCATATTTGGTTTACAGAATAATCCTGCTGGACATCTCTTCAGAGAGTGAGCTGAAAAAGAGGTTTCCCCTGCAGGTGCTGATTAAAGCTTAGATTTAAAAATGTAAAATACCGTGGGAGATATGATTAATGTACATCATTATTTGTGTTGGTGTTGTTTAATTTAGCTGTTAGAACATTTCTGTGCATACAGCTCTATAAATTGTATTATTTCGACATCAGTAAAATGTACTTTCCTTTTCTTTTGATTTGTGTGATTTGTGTCTATCTTCCGTAGCTTGTTTGAAGTTAGAATGCACTTTGCATAGAAATGTGTTGCTAGACAACGAGCAGCTTTTCAGTTGTATTCACGTGAACATGTATCACAAGACTCAGCTCAGCTATGACCATGGTCAATCAGGCTTGGTGCACCAGTGTAAATTTGAATTATAAAGTAGGACCTAACAAAAACCGGTATAAGAGTTAAGACCTATTTAACAGATTACAGACTAACCCAGAACAGATGACAGATTAACCCAGAACAGATTACAGACTAAAACTCCTCTCCAGTATTTCACATGAAACATGTTTTCCAGGGTTCAGATTACTGTAACATTAGATTTAGAGTTCAACTGGTCAACAAGCTCAGACTGCAGGTCCTTAAAATAAACCAAACTCAAGTACTCCTGCCCAACCCCCAACTCTAAAACAACCAACCCGTCCACAGTGTGCAGTTTCCGTTGCAAATAGACATACAAACAAATAAAACACATGGACACATAAAGAACCAGGAGGTGAGTGCTTTGTATTAATGTCAGTGCTGCTGTCTGCATAAAGTTTGATTTGATAGTTTGACTGTTTGTGTGACTGTTGCAGTGATCTGAGTCAACTGCTGTCACTGGGTTAAAGATCAGCACTTGTTTCACTGGTTAATTAAAGCTCTAGTGTGTAACATGTGTAATATAATATTCATAGGTAT